TGAGAAGCTGCCTATGACTTGTACTGCAGAGAAGGACTGACTGTTTTTGTTTCTGAGTTTAGAAACACTAAAAGGACTGCTTCCTGCAAAACTGTAAGTGATTGCTAGCAGCCCTCCAAAAAAAACTGTTAGCAAATTCTTATTGTTCTACCCTTTATAACGTCAGACCTGTTTGTAATTGTGAGCATTTGAACCTGTATTTCACTTGTCTAGAGGTAATTTTAGTATAAGGCAGCCACTTGTTTCAGCCAGTCTATTGTGTTGTCAGTCCATAGCTACATAAATATAACACATACTTTATTTAGACGAATTTGAAATTCCCATTTAAGAGCAGCCTCTTGATAATTGCTGGCCCTGTGAAAGCAACCACGCAGAACTATGACCCTGTAAAGGCAGTCAAAATCTTTCTAAAGTTGCAGTGGATCTCTCTATAATACACCTGGCCCTTGACCCTCTGACATCAGTCACAGATACCCTAGTTGATGCAATAATCCTTCTTAAAATGTCCAGTATTAGCTTCTATCCTGCTTCTCTGCAACACTCTTTAGCAAGAAGATTTTTTGCAAGCCCAATTATCTCTAGATACCCACTACAGCAGGTAACTTAGGTTTCTGGACCTACAGCACATGACACAGACTGAGGCAAGGCCCAAGTAGAGAGGCACATCCTCTTCAGACATACACACCCAAGAGGTAATGGACGCTCTGGAAAGGGGAATCAAATATTTATCATGTTCCCGAATCATACCTCTGAAGAAGCACCCTGGGAATTAATTGGGTCAGATACATATTCATAACCTAATAATTTTCACTTCCGCTCTGATTACTGAAACCTCCTTTACATTATCAGGCAGAAACAATTACCCAATACAAAACACAAAAATTCCCCAGCCTCAATTACCTCAGCCTCAAAGAAACAATTACCCAACTGAGCTTAGAGAACACATGCAAAGCCTACAAAAAGGAAAACAGATGCTTAGGCTGCCTACATCCTTGCAGGAATACACACTAAATTTAACATGTGACACAACAGCATAGGGAGTCATTGTCTAGCATCCCTACATTTCTGAGCTAAGACTGGCAGCAAGTGGTGCAATCAAATCACCACATTCCTGCGTGGCAGCGTAGCAAAAACCTACCATTGATCAAGAGCTGATGTTCCTGTGCTTAGCACTGTGGGTGAGTGAGTTAGTACCAAAGCCTTTTTGCACACAGGCCTATCCAGTCACTGCAAAAAGAAAGGATAGTCTAGAATCCTGTCCACTGTCAGATGGCTTGGGTTTATAGGACAGTGAAAGAATTGCCTCCTTGAGCTAGCCTGTCACTACCTTTGTAAAACACATTTACTCTCAATTACAGAATTGTCTAGCAGTCTAGAAGAAATCTAGAAGCTATAAATCATTGTTAAGTTGTGAAAATTAGCCTCCTGGTCCCCATTAATTGTATTTCTTATAAGAACATATGTTTGATGCTCAATTGTGCTGTGCAAATTATAGAAAAAATGGCATTCCCCATATGCAATAGCCACATTCCCATTCTCATTTCTTGAAATTTTCCCCTAAACAAGACATGTGATGGACTACAGTCTCACGTTTAGTTTCCTAATTTGGATTGAAATTGTAGTCCATCTAGAGCAAGGAGCAAGGTTGGCAACTTTACAAAACACACAGGGACCATGGGGAACAGAAATAGCCACCTTCCAGAATGAAGGACAGTGTCAGCATGAATTCAGAGATGATTTGAGGATCTACAGTTGATTGATACACAAATAAGGTCCAGTATTGCTAATAGGTAAGGTACATGCATGCATTTTTAAGATTAAGCTTCTGAGTTTCGTATCACTTTAAATATTAGGGTCTGCTTTACTGTAAGAAATGGGTTAATTGCTGTTAGAGGGCAATTATTCTTTTTAGTTGTTTTCACAGCAAGAATACTGTGTCAAAATCTACAAGGCTGCCAACATGAAAAATACAGATCTATTACTTGCTGATATTTTATTTTCCTGAGTGAGCAGATCTGTGTGATCTGAGGAGAGTCTCACAATTTAGGAATATAAACATGTTTTTTTTATGAATAACTAAACTGGACAAATCAACAACCATACAGTCAGGAATTTCAATACGTTTACCAATTTGCCTGATTTGTGAATTGATTCCCTTATACTGGCAGGCATCCTTTCACATGAGATTGTGTAACAACAAGAAAAAGAATCAGCACAGTTTAATTCACATGATCTCTACCAATGGCATTCATAAAAGGATTTTGAGTCACCTGGGGAATAAAATGTACTTATGGCCAAAGGTAAATGTCTTTTTATACTCTAGGATGACTCAGTGCAATTCAGTGCACAAGTTACATAACTGTTCTTAAGAAGAAGAAAAAAGCCCAAAGCAAAGTTAAAAGAGAATGGATTTTCAAAAACATTTAATAACACAGCTTTGAAGCACAACCAGAAAAAAAAAGGAATGTTAGAAACGATTCATTATTTCTACAATGGGTTCACCTAATCATGACATCTAAGTATACCATTGGAGAAGGCAATTTAACTGGATTGTGTTGGTCTTTCCTGTAACTGTAAAGCAGTGGAATTATGAGAAATGTATAGAATATGTAAAATATATTACTTTTTATATTAGATTTGCTATTTTAAGGCAGGGCAGGGAAACAATTAACTATACAGGCAATACTTTGACCAGATTCAGACCTGTGATATATAGTTACCACAATGCACAGTAATATACGACGGTGAGTCAAAAATGATCTGCACACTGGCTGTAGAATTTATTCTATTCAAATTTTAGAAAAGACAAAATATATAATTTTTCGACATAATCTCTTATTTTCAAAACACTCCTCCCTCATTAAAAATTTTTTAGGCTGAGCTGTGAGCCATGAATGCACCGATGTCTTCACTTCTTCATAATAGGTGAATCTTCGTCCTTGTAGGGCTGCTTCTAGGGGACCAAACAGGTTAAAGTCCGATGGAGCAAGATCAGGACTATAGGTGTACACTCAATGTTGTCATAAGCCGTGGACGGGCGTCCGGCTCCTTCTTGATGGCTAACTCGTGTGCGACCTTCCTTGAACTTCTCTATCCATTCATACACGCTTCGTGACAAAAAACTTTCTCCATACTGCGCAAGTCTTCGATAAAATAACAGCACCAGGCACACCCTCAGACCACAAAAAACAAATCACTGCACGCTGCTCTTCTTTTTTGCAAATGCAAATCACAAGGGGGCATCCATTTTTTTTGCACCACAGTTACAAATGAACCCGATGTAACATGTTCACAACTGCACAGCAGTGGCTGGGGAGACAGTAGCCTTGAACGGAAAGCGCTAATAAGACGGCCAACAGAGGTTTTAGTATAAAATGCACTCAATAACATACACTACTTCCCCTTCATATTTTCTTCAAAAATATAACCAAAAATATGCATGCATTATATGTATTTCACATTAAATTTGATTGACTGGGTGGTCTTAGCAAGCCACCAATGTCGCCATGTGAATGGTAACTCAGACAGGTTAGCGTGCTTTTACACTAACTATATTTTGAAACTGCTGCAAAACATTCCAGGACATATTACAAGGTTTTCCTTCCCTATCAAGAATTGTGAGATGGGATTGCCTGAAGGCAGCTAATAGGTATTAGACTGTCTGGCAGTCCTTTCAATAGCTTGAAGTAGTCACATGCAACTGGACATGGTCTGAAATTTTGAAGATGTTTCTCATCCAAGTGTCTTCCTTTCAAGAACATAACTCAACATTTATAGGTACATTGGTAAGTCAGTCACATTAATCCATTACCATGGAATGTGTCAAGGCAGCTGCTGATTGTCCAATAACATGACAAGTGATGTGAATGTCTGTAAAACCACCCTGCCAATCAACCATCTAATGTCTAGGAACACCTAAAAGCAGCAAATCCATGACAGTGTACTGAAAAAAGGGGATGCATTCTTATGAGAACTTTTAGACACAACATGAAATTCGCATCTACAGGAGGAGAGACCAGGTGAAAAAAAGTAGTGAGGCAAACCCAGACCTTGTAATTTTGTTACATATAAGGGAAATATCAGTGGCTGACTTGTAAGAAATACCTGGAAAACCATTTCAAATGGCTTGGCTATTACTGGCAACCAGTAACAAAATGAATGTAGCAACAACTGATTAGGAAAGAACTGCCAGCATCCGGATGTGATGCACACTCTGTGAAGGGTCTTTCTCAATAAAAAAAAGAATGGCTGATGTATGATTTACTAACATTTTAACATATATCTGTTATAATAAGATCTTCCAGTATTAAGAAGGCTTGTCATTGCCATTCAGATGTTGTCGTCATCGGAAGTTAATTTCTAGTATGACACAGTCAGTTGAACTTATTGTGTTTTTTGGGCTTTCTATGGATCTTGATATTGCTTTGAGTGGACCATTAGATGAACAGAGTTTTACAGACAGATGAATCTGTGCTGCCACAAGGGAGATTTGTCTGTCAATCCTGCTCCATACAATTTCAATTTAAGTGGTGTCTCAAATCTTGCTGGGTCTCATCATGAGCAAATACAAACAGAAACAAGGAATCCTTGCAATAATCTTGCAATATTGGTGGGAATTTATTAATTCAAAGAGCACAGTTTACAAGCAGCATCTGTGATGCATTTCTCACTACTAGTGCTTTTCATAAGGTTTTGAGGAAGCACTGGTAGTGCAAAACCCATAAATGGTTTTTGTATCATGCTTCTTGTCTACCTTTGCTCTTTCAATTAATAAACACTCTCCAATATTGCCAGATTTTTGTAAGGATTCTTTGTATTTGTCTGCATTTGCTAGAGTTTTTCAAATGCTAAAGCAACAGGGCTGATATGACTATCAGAAAGGGTGACGTTTAAGGATAATCCCTAAGTATTATTTTTTAAGTGCGACTCTTCTGTGAACTTCTGTACAGGTTTTATTTTTTATTACAAAAAGTATTACAAAACGATTTAAATGTACTTACAACTTTCAATCTCAAGAGTACAGTTCTGTTCATCTAAGGGATATCGGCGTAGATCCATCATACAAGCAGCTGTGGTTGTAATCCTAAAAGAAATACATGAGAGAAAAGCCTTGTGTTATATACACTCTTTCAAATATAGTATACTTGTTCATGTTTACAATAAAGGGGAATACAGCATACAACAGGTTGTTTTTAAACAATACAGAAAGATATATATGTGTATTATTCTAAGGAGAACTCCAGGCAAAAATTGTATTAACCCTTGCATTGGGGTTACACCCACTGCAAGGGTTAATACGCTATATGGTGTGAAAACCTTTTTTTAAACCTAGACAGAAACATTCAGTTAATAAAATGTGTGCCTGGAAATTTTCTTTGACATATTTGTTTAACCCCTTTGTGACGGGAGACGTACACAGTACGTCCCGCCACAAAGTGCCCAAATGACTGGCCACGTACACTGTACCTGACCAATTATTTGCGGCTCTGCAATGCTGGTAACCGCTGAGAATCAGTGGTTACCATTCATTAATGGATGCCTCAGAGGTATCCATTAATGAAAGAGTTAACCTTTTTCAGACACCCGATCCCTTTCAGGAATCAGGTGTCTGACAGTGAGAGCAGAGCGGCTTTTACTGCTCTCACTGACAGCTGGTATAGATCGGGAAATCGCGATGTATACCGGCTTTTTATTTTTTTTTTACTTTCAGCAATAGAAACATAGGGGTCTTTTTACAAAGCTGCCATAGGCAGCCGAGTGAATAACCCACCTTAAGTGAAGTGAGCCGTACGCTGTTTGGCTATTCACTTCAGGCTTGTATGGCTGATTTCAGCCGTACACCGACTAAAATCAGCCGTACATCGGCTTGCTTCGGGTCGGCCAAACATGCTCAGCATGTTCGGCCAACCCCAAGTGCAGAAGGAGTTTGACTCAGCCGATCCAACATCTGGATTGGCTGAGCTCAACCTCCGGCAGGCTAATCACTGCTGTTTGGCCTATTTTCATAGATGCCAAACAGCAGTGAGTGAATAGCGACATTTGGCTTGGCTATTCTGCCCGGTACCTCTGTGGTACCGAGCAGAATAAAAAAACAGATAAAAAAAGTAGAAAAAATAAAATAGAAAACAATTGGGCGGAGCTAGCAGTGACAGCTAGCTCCGCCCAATTGTTTTCTATTGGCCGGCAGTTCTGCTGCCGTCAGAATAAAAAGAAAAGCCAGCATAGGAATGCATAGCTATTGGCTATTTCACTTTGCAATAGCCAATAGCAAACTAGCTAATAATAACCAAAAATTAATTAATTAATTTATGAAGCAGTAATAGTGAGATTAATTCACAATGACTGCTTGATATAATCAAATAAATAAAATATTTTTTTTAAATAAATAGTGAAAAGTGTAAAAAAATAAAGTGTACAAAAATAAATGTAACAAATAAAAATGAAATATTTATATATATACTTTTATACTATTATGTATATAAAAATTAACCCTTTACAATGAAAATCTGCAGGTGAGCTTCAGATTTGTTTTTCACCCTGAGGGGTTAATTTTTTTTGACCCCCTCATGATAGTCATGTTCAAAGTATGTCACTTTCACTAAGTGTGACACTTAGTGACAGTGACATTGTATGCCAGGTGACCACATTTAGCCTTAGCTTTTAGAGAAAAAAGATTAAAATGTTAGATTTTAGTTTTAGGCCGAGTAATACAGAAAAATGTCTAAAATCCTAGGGATGTGAGGTTTTTCCAAATAAAGGACAAATACATGAATGTAGTTATTGCATTTTTTTTTTTTTAGCTGTGCTGTTTTTGTAAAAAATACTACAAATCAAAACTGGGGAAAAAGTGTTTTCTTTACGTTTTTCCTCTTTTTTTATATTTTATTTGTCCTAAGTGAGGCATTAGGTACACATATGTCATATAAATATATAGCCCTATCTGTCCTCTAAAAAACAATATATAATATGTGTGGGTGCGCTTTGTAAGAAAGTATATTACTGACGTGCAAGAATCACACAGCAAAAATTTCAAAAGTGCGTCAATCATTAACGAACAGAAACTAAAAACAAGCTCAGTCATGAAGGGGTTACAAATAAATCAGATATTAATATTCATATTATTATATTTCATAGCACTATAATATTAATATGAATTAAGAAAATCCTATTCCAGTCATTGATGTGGTTGATGCAAATATAACAATGAGGTGCTGCAAAATCACAAAGGAAAATGTGTTGTTTCAGTTATTACTTAATATAATACAAAGTACATAATACAATATATACAGTACATATGTCATAAGACCTCCTACACTACATAGGTGTATTTCTATATATTCACACTAAATGTACCTCCAAGATTACATGCTTTATTTTCCTCATTTTTTGGCTGATCTGCAAAACATGTTAACATGCCAACAAGATATCTAATACACTTTTTAATCTTTCCAAAAATGTAATTTATTTTCCATTTCTAGCACTTTAATCCAAATGGGGATTTCATGAACAATGGCTTAAAGCAGACACTTTCAGTGCAACTCTGTTGAATCTAGTCCAGTGGGTGTCTGGAAGGTCTGCACCATCTGCTCAGAATAATTAGATGCTTTTACTATCTATCACCACAATTTTCCCTCTGTGCTTATCCACCAGCTCTCCCTTCAGTGACAATATTGTACAGTTTATGCCACCACTTCTCATCCATGCTCATATTAAAAGGAACAGAAATCTGGAGGTTTTGTTCTATCAAGCAGCAAAGTAATATGGGGAGCTGTTAAAAATAACAAGAAGACATAAATCATGAGTTAAATGGTTAACATAAAAACTGTAAGATGTCCTGAAAAGTGTTTCCAAGTCTACCGTGCCCAGCATTTTGTGATTGGTAGTGGCAACAGCATGTATAACAATGATCTGATTTATAAGTCATCAATAAGGATGAGCATACTAGATGAAACTGAGCGAATCCAGGCAGACAACCCTGATAAGCATACTTCAGAAGTAAGAAGAGAGCATATTTTATCATTTTCTTTTCATCTTCACTCTATGTAAGTGATTCTATCTGTCAGACTTAAGGAGGACCAATCAGTCTGCCAGGCTTTTTTTTCTATTTTTTATCCTTTGTTTTTTTAGTGAATTTAGTGAAAAAGTGTTTCCTTTTAAAAAAGATCCCACAAGATTGGTTGGGCTGGGCTAAGCTGGGTAGCAACGTTGTCCATATTTACAATGGAGTTCCCATTATGACAAACTCTGGAGTATCAGTGTAGTACTGAAATGTGATTCTGGCACATTTCAACAGTGAAGTTCCAATTATATCATAATCACTTCAATTTCAAAAATAAACAGAAGCCTTTGGACTTACATTGGCTCAATACATCACAGAATTGCTGGTTGGTTTCTTTAGATGAAAGGGCACCAAAATGGATTTATTTATTCTTTTCTGCTGTCTGTGTCCGGTTGAGAAGATTTCCCTTCACTTCTTGTCCCAGAGATGCAACAGGAAGTGAGAGGAAGTCTCTCCATCACGTTCTCTCTTGCTGGCAGTGGTTATTCGGGCAAATAAAGAGGGTGAATCTCCCCAGCAAGGACAAGGACAGTAGCAAAAACTTGATATATTGTCCTAGATTGTTCACTTCTCCTGCCTTCTCCAAACTCTTCACCCTTTTGTGAATAACCCTGTAATATTAAGCCTGGATAGTATAGCAGTACTTCTGACCAATGCGTGTATGAGATTTGTGGCTCTCATACACTAAGGGATAGGGTGGCACGTACGTCCGCCCCCAATCCCCTTGACCATTTACAGAACACCATGTATTACAAACATTTTCATGCGTTGTGCTTTAAGATAGATTTGGTTATTTAATTACTTAGAATTAAAAAAATACAATAACTATGTTAGATAATACAGAGGCAGTAAAGCATGACCAAACAATCCCTACTGTGCAAAAGAAACTACTCATTGGAACAGATTTGCTGGAGTAATAACGACTATTCATTTTGCAAATAAAGTGACTTATGTATGGCGGATTCAATCATTCAATTTTTTGCAAGGCAAAATACTGTATTTATTCCTCTGCACATGATTGGGAAATTAAAGAGAACACTCCGCTTCTTCTAGTAATTCAATCTAATTTAGTCAATTTAGGAAACCATAGCAGGTCTATTTTGTGATTTTTGTAGTTTTGATTTACACGAAGTTCAAAATACAGTAGACAGAAATAGAAAGACGGATAATAGATAGATAGATAGATAGATAGATAGATAGATAGATAGATAGATAGATGCAAATACTTAGATATAAACATCCCAAAATTCTTATGCTTATAAATTGTCTGGGTCTGGCCCTCGGGATGCAGTTTTATTATGAAAAAGCGAATGTGACTAGAACAAAAAGCTGCAGGATATAAAGAGAGGCAACTGTCTTAAGTGCAAACTGCAGGAAAACAAAACTGAAAAGGTTACAAGGGGCCGTTTGTGATGCAGATACAAAGATATTAGGGGTGAAAAAGCAAATGTTTATCTTATATAACATTCACCTTCAGATTTGAAGCATCATTTACTTAATTTTTGTGTCTTTTAGTAGGCTTGACCATATGCCTGTCAAAGCAATTAATACAAAATGTAATAACATGATCTACTGATAACATGATATACTTTAATTTAAAGAAGAAGAACTTATGACCCTTTTTTCCATTAATAAGCAAACGATACACTGAATTTGATCTAATTAGTATGTATAAAATTAAGATACAAAAAAAAATTAATTTGTATAATAATAAAACTGTTAATAATAATAATAATAATAATAATATTAATGCTGCTATCCTTATTTATGACAACCCATAGCAACCAGTCATAGATTACTCCCCAACAAAATCAAGCATTGACACATTTAGACATTTTTTAGCATCATTTAGGCTGTCCAGTTCACTGTAATCCCAGTCAAAGCGTATATTCTCCTGGAAGAATAAATGAACACTAGCAAAGAAGATTTACTATTATCATCTCCAATTAGCAATAAAATATCTGTAAGATCTACTATGGCTGTAAATATGGCGACTCTTTCCAAACAGATAAAGACTCAAATAA